ATTAAATATTTAAATTATTTTTTTGGAAAAACTATTTTTTGTTTCAACTTTTTTGATTTTATTTTTATTTATTTGCATTCAAAAACAGGACGAAGACAGGAAACGCGGTGGTCTGTCATTGGATCGTTACAAGGAACTGTATGCTCAATTTTTGGGCAACACTGCCGACGACCATCCAGCTGTCAACTTGTTTGGGCCTTTATAAATACACAAAATAAAAACAAGCAAAATTTTTAACTAAATAAAATAAATATATATTTTTTTGATTGTCTTCGCTGTTGTTCAACTATTGTCATTTAAGTGTCATTCATAATCACTTTTACATTATAACTAATTAATTAACTATGGCAAGAAAGTGAATTTACGTTATGTACCCACGCACACCGAAAAGTATGTAGAATCGTTAAAAAACATAAAAACAACACAATATACATATATACATAGATAATTGTTAATGGAAAGCAATAAAAAACAAAATCTACCTTTTTTTTGCTCTCCCACAAAATGAAAAAAAAAAAACAAAAAAACAATCTTGACATATGTCTCTCTCTCTTAATCTTAAAAAAAAAAAACGAACATAATAATGAAATAAAATATTTAAGGACTTTCTATACAGAATATACATTTATGAAGTTATGAAAAAAAAAAGAATATTTAACACAAAGAAAGTATATAAATAAATATAACATATAAACACATATGTATATGTATAATACATATATGTAAATATTTTAACATTATTAGCACACAATTACTATATATTTTACGTAAAATTTATTAAATGTTTGTATCAATAACGGCACACACTTCAAAAGGCAAGTGTAAAAAAACTATCAATTTTAAGTACACACTTTAACAAATTATGATGTTCCTTTATTTTATACAATAAAATATATAAATATCTTCGGATCAAGGCAATTGTGTTTTAATATTGAAATAATAATGGGGAACCCGGCATTTTTGTTAACCATATCTTACAGAGAGTATTTTTTGTTTCAGGTTTTATCCTTAATTTTTATCTTAAAAAATTTTACTTTGAATAATTAAAATATATAACCTTTCATTTTGTCTACCATAACTTTTGTTTATGTTTCAAATACGTTAGCGTATATACATATGTCAGTTATTAACGTGACGCCATTTTGTGAAGAGTTGGTTTGAGCTAAGTTAGGTTATATACAACGATGAAAACTCTGCACTGTTTAATACACTTAAGTATGATTGAATAAATACATGTTACCTTAATAATTTTTTTTGTTGGTATTCCAATTCGATAGATATACTTCCGTTTCCAAGATTACAGCAAACAGTTTGCAGTGCAGATAACATGAACTCCTGCAGCAAAGTGCGGGTTGCTGTGGGAAATCTTTTTTGTATGTATAAATATAGCAGCTAATTATTTATAAACATGCAATTATGCATGAAACATTTTTACCGTTGATTTGTAGATACATTTGAGTTAACGTTATTAAGTTGGTTTAATCAATTATTGATTTACATTTTAGCAATTGCCGCAAAACTCTTTCCGCTTACACTACTTCACAAAGACTTCCGCTTCTAAATCTTTCGCCGTCAAAAGTGTTGCTGGCTTCTCATTCTCTTCCCTAATACAACAAGTTACCGGACATCTCAACCAACTGTTTTTCCTACCCAACCGTTTCTGCTTTTCGCTTTACATAAATTTGTCAGATGTGGCAACATTTACGGACTTTCATCATCGCCTAAATTTACAATATATTTGTACATATACAGTGTTTCACATATTTTAACAATCAAAATTGCTTCGCCATTCAAAAGATTTCTGGGCGGCTGCATTGGTCATTTAGCAGTATTTCACAAGCAGTTGCGAGGAGCTATAATGGATACGGAACCTTTGGATCCAATGGATATATTGGCTTACACTACTGAGGAATTGCAAGGGCGTTTTCGCCGTGCCAAAGATGGCACAGAGAAAGCTAAAGTCTTTGCTGATTTCCTATGTCGTTGGGATGCAGACGCAGCACTAGCACCTGTAAAAAATATGAAGATCGAATTCCAAGAAGGTTTTTAATTAATTATTTACCAATTTTTGTATGTGAATACTATTGTATAAATATTCTCAGATCTCGATTGGTTCAATGTTACACGACCGTTGCCTTTGAAGTCACTGAATGGCAAGCTAGTTGTACTCGATTTTTTTACCTACTGTTGCATCAACTGTATGCACATTTTGCCAGAACTGCATGCGCTCGAAGAACTCTATCCACCGGAAAGTGGTCTTGTTGTGATCGGTGTGCATAGTCCCAAATTCGAAAATGAAAAGGATGGTGCGAACATACTCTCTGCAGTACAACGTTACGGTATTACACACCCCATCGTGAACGATGCGCACATGACACTATGGCGCGCAATTGGCATACGTTGCTGGCCATCACTACTGGTGCTGAGTCCCAGTGGTGCGCCAATGTTGCTACTTATGGGTGAAGGACATGGCGCTTTTCTACAAAGCTTTACCGAACAGGCATTACGTCATTACAAAGCAAAGGGTGAAATCGATAACTCCGCGCTACCACTCAAATTGTCCACCGATGCGGAGCCAGCGTCAAACTTACGTTTTCCGGCAAAAATTGCGCGTAGCGAGAATGGACAATTTGCTGTTGCTGATGCCGGCAATCATCGTGTTTTAATTTTTGATAGCGCTGGTGTAGTGCGTCAACGCATAGGAGGCAGCACGGCTGGCTTCGTTGATGGTGATTTTGCGACGGCCCGTTTTAACTCACCACAAGGTCTGGATTTTCTAGATGATGACGTTTTAATTGTCGCCGATACAGAAAATCATGCTTTACGCCAAATAACATTGAGTGCGTGTCGTGTCGAAACTCTCGCCGGCACCGGACAACAGGGCAATGATCGTGTGGGCGGTAAATTGGGTCCGCTACAAGCCATCTCATCGCCTTGGGACATAGCTGCGTTCCGTATGCGCGACATGGATATGTCATTCCATTTGGATGAACGTAATGTACCTGAAAAAGCGATAGTTTTAGTGGCTATGGCTGGCACTCACCAAATTTGGGGTTACTTTCCGGAGGGTATCATTTGGTGGAAATACCGGCAGTTAGATCCACGTGCATGCGTAGCAATTATCGGTAATGGAATGGAGGAGAATCGCAATAATTCATATCCACAAAATGCCGCATTCGCACAACCTTCTGGCTTAGCTTTGGGCAAAAATTTTCTCTACATTGCGGACAGTGAGAGTTCCAGCATACGTAAAGTGTCAATGGTGGATGGCAAAGTAATGCCCGTTGTGGGCGGCGATCGTAATCCATTAGTAAGTAGACAACATTTAATATATCGATACTTTATATTTATTTATAATTTACATTGCAGAATTTATTTGCATTCGGTGACATCGATGGCAAACAGTATAATGCAAAGTTACAGCATCCGCTTGCTGTCACCTATAACAGTGCAACTGATAAAATATTTGTCGCCGACACCTACAATCACAAAATCAAAGTCATAGACACTGCCACAAGTTGTATAGAAACACTGTTGATTAAGGATGAAAGTGGCGCGCCATTACAATTCAATGAACCTGCGGGCTTGTGCTTCGACGCCAGCGGCCAATTGCTTTACATCGCTGACACCAATAATCACCGCATACTATTGGTGGATATGAACACATTTAACGCGAAACCTTTCATACTAGACTTCAATGCAATTGCGGCCGCCACAAGTGACACGGAAACGGATTCAGCACTTAGTAGCGGCTTGCAACTGCTCAAAAACGTGCCATTGCGCACCTGTGTGCAATTGAAGTTGCATGTAAATATCAATTTAACCAACGAATTGAAGTTCACTGAGGCGGCACCACAACGTTGGACACTAAAAAGTGCTACACCGGGTTTGAAAGCGTCAGCGACTTCAGGCCAAATAACTAATGGTGTAATGAATTTGCAATTTGAGCGCAATGCCGCTTTGCTGCCGGCGGCGGAAGAGGTTAAGTTGGATCTAGCGCTCAGCTTGTGTGATGCCAAAAGTTGTCTTATGAAGCGTTTTGCTTTAGTGCTGAAAGATAGCAATGTTGATGCTGACAAGCCAATTGATAAAGCGTGTGTACTCGATGAAAACATAAATATTAATATTACGCCAAATGAGATTGTTATTAGTTAGTGAAATTTAAGAACAAACTTTTGTACATTTGTTGTACAATTTATAAAGAAATTGTTGTGCGTTGTGTTGTTGTTTCATAAATTCGCGGATATGTTGTAAAGTGACCAATTTTGTAAAAATGCAATATCAACACTACAAAGAACTTGAGACGGCTTTTATAATTGCAAATAAAGTGTGTACTTAAAAGGAGTAAGTGTGCAGAGTGTAATTTTTTGCAAGAGCAAAATGGGATTTACGGCCGTCACCACAAGAAAAAAATGTGTCACGTACTTCAGATAATTTTGTTATCATAAGGTAAATACTATTCATACCAATGTGACAATTCCTATTGGCTAATTTGTTATATTTACTTATATTTTAAGATTTTTTTCATTAATCAGACAAAATATGTTAGGTGGATTCAAGCACTTGTTTTTACAGCTGTATTTACAACAACAATAATGCTTTTACAAACGCCATAATTAAAAGTAAGTAATATCATTTGAAAGTTGTTTAAAAAATACATATTTTTCATTTTGTGCTTACTTCATAAATGCTTTAAAAATATATATATATATATAAATTTTTAGCTTAATTTAAAAATTCATGCGGTAAAATATGCAAAATGATAAGTTTTAAAAAAATGCATTTGTTACGGGCTACACAAAAATGGATGACTTATTGTTCATATGTGCTGCGTTACTTGTTTCATACATATTTCGCCATTTGGCAAACGTCCAATGCTCATTCTATGTAACGCAATATTCTTTGACTTTCTGTGGATCGCCAATTATTCGGCATACTTCACCCAACAAGTCTTTTAAAATGGCTGGTTGACGATGTTGAGCACCATCCAGTGTGATAGTGGGTATAAAACTAACTGACGGTCGCAGTGCATGTGTGGCGTCGCCGTTAAGTTTTAGCAATTCTCCAGCATGATCACTGCTAAAGCATTTTTGTATGAGATCAGTGTCTTCAACACTATGTTGGCGAGCACACTGTAAGAAAATGTTATATAAATTAAAAAGATAAAGACAAAAAAGCTTTGTAAATATATAAACAATTGCGTTGGCACACAATATATTCCGTAAACAAAATAAAAATATACATATGTATATGCATTTTTTGTGCTCAGACGATTGCAAAAAAGTAACAGCAGCTGGTGTGAAGTTAGCGTGTGAATACATTCATTGTGTTGTTTTACATGAATATAATTGCACGCTTTCTTACCATATTAACATGCAAAGCACTTACAAAGCAATAAGTGCCGGGTGGCAAAAGTTATAAGATCTTTACGAATATAGTTAGATCAATTTATTTAGTTACCTTAAGCATAACCTCTTTAGGATTTCGATTATCACGTATCATACATGCAACCATATTAAGGCGAGTTTGTGGATTTTCAATGGCCTCAATCACACAGGCATGATACATGTTACCCTCGCATTCGACATTGCCATGTTGGCATTCAAAACGATAACCACCATCGGAATTGATAAAGGTTTGTGCCTTGCCATATGGTATCAATTCTATATCCATTAGTGGTGCAGCTTGTCTAAATGCCGGTAGTAATTGTTTGATTATGAAATGCTTTGAATCACCACATAATGCTTCATAGTACACCGACACCAACACGGGCGCGCCTGGAGAGCGTTTGGGCTCTGGTGGTGGCTATTAGTTTAAACGAGGAGGAAATAAATTACACATTTTATGTCGTTAAACATTTGATTATTATTGTAATTTATTCATATATACTTACAGTCAGTATGGCACCATGGAAGAGCACATAGCGTACAAAAAGGAAGACCAGCACAAGTGTAAACACAATTAACAAACGTTTATGCGCTGCCGATACCATTATTAGTTATCGATGTGCCTATTCCAACTATATCAACGTTATTATTTAAATACTTAAAATATTTGTTTCATTCGGCTTTTTGTGATTTTATTGTTAGATAAACATTTTCACAAAAGATAAGCTACTAATATAGCGCTAAGTAATGGTATTAGTGTTGTACGATAGGACTAGAAAAAATGTATAATTTCCGACGGTCACCCTTAACGGACACGTTGCGAACGTAATTGAATGCACAATTTTTATTGTTTTTTTGTGTAAAATTGTAGTGCTACCTGAAAAACAACAAGTTTTACAAATATAAGCAAATTGTAATACAATAGTAAATCGGCAATCAGCTGAGATGGCGGTTTGCGAATTCGCCGCAATGCTGCCATATGTGTATGCCACGATATTACAATAACCCGTGATACGATTTAAATGCAAACTATATTACAACAATTTCGTGTTTTATTTGAAACAAAAATTGAAGTTTTTCAAATTAATAGCTGTTAATGGTTCATATTGTTTACTGATATAGGCTTAATGCTGAAAGGGTATGTTCAGCGTTTAACTCACTCTCAGCGTGTGTTCAGTGTCGCAGTACTTTGAATTGACATTTGACAAGGTTGGAATTTGGTTGGAATCAAAATCAATGTGCTTGTGCTAATGTTTAGAATTTAGTGTCGATTTTATGAAATAAAAATGGCAAAAAGACTGCAAGAATATGTAAAATATAGCATAAAAGAGTTGGAATCTTATACGAAACAAGAAGGTTCCTGTGTGCGTAAAATAAATTCCAACTTACATATATCATTAGGTCCATATTGTCTTGCCGATTTTAAACATGCGCTCAGTGCTCATATAATGCGACGCAAAGTTGGCTACTATGATGACAGTCTAGAAGGTATTGTCTTGGACATAAAGAATATTAAAGTGTTGAGCAAGTTAGCTGCCTTGCGAGCGGATGATCCACGAATACATGTTGACGTGAACGCCGATTGCTATGTGTTCTGTCCAATCGCTGGTGCGATATTGAGCGGTGTGGTGAAGCACATTGGCAACCATCATATCGGCGTAATTATTTACAGAGTTTTCAATGTGAGCATTAGGTTTGCAGCTAAGCTCAATAAGGAGGAGTTTAAAATGGATGACACGGTGCAATTTCGTATAAAAAATTTCAATTTACAAAATGTCTTCCCGTATATTGAAGGCGATCTTGTGACAGCTAGTGGCGATAAAATTACGGTAAGTGGAAAATTTTTTTAAATTTGGACCATGCCACTTTTTATTTATTTATACTATTAATTTTAAATWTATTATTTGCAGCATAAATTTATAAAAGTTGAACCGGAAAGTGCTGATAGTAATATAGATTCTGGCATTGAGACGCGTGATAATCAAGAGCTAGACGAATTAGTAAATCTAATCAAGCAAGAAAAGGAATCAGAAGAGGAATGCACTCCCAAGAAAGCAACCAAAAACAAAGATAAAGCTAATTCCAGTAAAAGAAAGAGAAAAGCTAGCGAAAGTGTGGTGCCAATTCCTACACCAACACCTATCAAAAAAGAGCCTTCATCGGAGAAAAGGAAACGTAAACAAGCCGATAGTGTAGAACAAGAAAATACTAAAACTGACAAAGCTACTGTGAAAAGTAAAACGAAGAAGACAAATGGTGAATTATTGAATGCAACACAAATTAAAAAGGAAGAATTAGACGATTCGTTTACAACGCCTACAAAGAAACGACGCAAGTCGAAAATGATTAGTATATCACTTGATAGTAGCTAGTGTTATGCTAGTGTGGTTTTGATTCTTCCCGAAACTCGCAAATTAATTGGGTATATTGTACTGTGGGGTATATTAACTGTCGCTAATTTTAATGTGTAAGAAGAAAGACATTCATGCCCGTAAGACCCAATAGAGCCGCATGTAAAAAGTGTAACCAACTAGTTTTTAATAAAATAATCGATATTCGATATTTCTGAAATAAGAAATGAAGAAAAGTTTATAACGCAAATCGTTTAAAAATATATACATAAATATATATGTAGTATATAGTACTACTGCAAATTGTGCCACGACTGTGAACACTTTTACGTTTTGAGCTAATATTAAAGTCAACGTGCATGTGTGCTGAATTACTTATATTTGCGAGTTGCTATACTTGTTTTGTACAAGTATAGAGTATATTTAAGTTTGAATAAGTTATTTTGTAATTTAGCACTAATAAAATGCAGAAATTTTAAATATAAAATAGTTGGCGAACAAATTTAATTTGTACATAAATGTGTGTATAAATATCTCTCCGCCAACCTATTAGACTTCATGGAAACTTGTCAAAGCTGAGAAAAAGTAAAATAAAGATAAACTCAAAACTATTTGGAGAGATTTCTACAGATGGAAAAACATTTAAATCTTAACTTTTCCTCTATTGCAGACTTTGATTTGACTTCAAATGTCGAATCTGCAGAGATTTGTTGTTGTTGTATCGGCAGAATTCTACCAAGTTGACATTCCTTAACAGGATAAAAATCCGGGTCCGTTCCGGTTACGTAGACCCGACTGCTGTGGGAACGGTTTGTCTGCGCTTGTGAATCCCGGGGTTGGGTCAGACAGCTGCATATAGTACTCAATCATACAGCGCAGCATATCGTGCCCTTTGTGGCAGTAGAGGGGTGTGGAAAAGGCAAAATATTGTCGTCTGTAAAAATTAAAGCCTTAGTTAAAGTTTCACAAAGAAGTTGCCTTCGGCAGTAAAGCAGAATGGAATAACTCCATGCTAAGGGAAGAACTAGTGGTGGACTGATGGCTCAAAATCTTGCCTTGAGAAGTAGGTGCTGGTTCGCCAATCCATACATGCGGGAAGGTTTCGGAATATTTTCCAAGCAAAAGTATTGACAATAACTCAGAAGCATGCGCCAGACAAAGTTGCTAATCACTGATTATAACCTCACTATGTTGGAAATGGAATCAACCTCTAATAATTGTTGTACTTTTCACTGGGAACTTCAAGTTCAAGAAGCACCGATTTATTATTGGTATGTCTTCTAGTGCAAACTGTTGGTTCTGCGACATGGAGCCGAAAACCTGATAATAGATGTATGCATATATAAATGATCAGCGTATGGTTTTATGCTTCGGTGATTTAACAAAAAATAGTAAAAGATTGCTTATAATTTTAAAATTCTTAATTTATTCTTCAAAATCTTTCTTGTCCCCTTCTAAGTAATACCCCTTGACTGCAATACAATTGTGCCAATGTTTTTTTCAATCCTCGAAACAGTTGCTAAAATCTATTTCCGGAATAGTCTTTAATGCGCGTAGCCATTCACGTTTAACGTCCTCAATTTTCTCAAAATAGTTACCCCGAGCAATCGTTTGAGTTTGCTGAATAACCAGAAGTCAAACGAAGTTAAATCAGGTGAATACGTTGGTTGTGGCACGATATTGCAATTATTGAATATTTGGTCGAAATTTCAGGAAGAATCAGTATGCAGTATGCGACGGTGTATTATCGTGGAGCAAAAACTTTGAGTTGTCCGCCCAAAATACCGGCCTCATTTTACGAATAACTTTGCGCCAACGACGCATAACATTCAAATAGTATTCCTTGTAGACACTTTGGCCGGTCGGAAGGTATTGCACCACACCTCAATACTCGAAGGAACTGTCAACATAACCTTGATTATGATAATTTTTCTGGTTTTTCGTGTTTGGGTCATCTTTGACATGACGTTGTTTTTCGAAAAAATTAAGTGATTTTGGAACCAATAGTGCTTTAACCTTCCTTAGGCCCAAATGATCTTTCAAAATGATTTTCACTGCCCCTTCCGATATTCCAACGATGCCAGCAAGATCTTTGACTGTTAATCGTCCATTCTCAGGTATCAATTCCGTTATTTTAATGACGTGTTCATCACCAGTTGACGTTCATGGCCGTCCTGGATGTGGTTCGCCATCAACGCGCTTTCGACCCTGTTTGAATTATTTGTATCAAACAAAACACTTGCTGGCGAAAACAAATATCAGCGAAGGTATTTATCAACATTCTGAATGCTTTGGCACCAGAAATTTGCTTCCGCTTACAAAATTTAATGGAGCTTCTTTGTTGAATAATTTCACTCATCGTAAATATCGCCGGATACACTTTATGTACTACAGAAAGACAAGTGTATATTTAAAACTGCTTATTATTTTTATTTGACACTTGACACAGATGACACTGATGTGCTGAACGCATAGAGAGCGACAAACTTCAAGCGCCATCTATCAAATATTAAAATACACACTTTCTTATGGAGACAGTTATGCAGTCGTGTAGCTGAATAACTGTGTCCTTAAGAACGTGCGTACCTTTATATTTGACAGTCGCATGAAGTCTGTCGCTCTCTATGTGTTCAGCACATGACTGGTATACTGAACTAGAAAAAAAAAAATAAAAAAATACTATTTTCACGGGAAAGGTAAATTAGAAAGTCTTACTATTTGTTGCCCACAGTGTATATCTTCGGTTTACCATTAAAACTAGCTCGTGTTTTAATTTTGTCCAACAATAAATATAAATTTATTAGTACTAAAAAAGAATTTGATTCTTACATTACATTTTACATTCATATAGTCACCATACAATATATTATACAATAAATAATTATTTTTTACCTTTTTTTATTTTTATTTTAATACGCACAAATATGCGTATTGTATCTGAAATTTTCCTAAATATATAATATATATATATATATACGTAAATATTATATAATTTACAGCAGAATATGTTAGGTGTTTATTTGCTAAATAAGAAGCCAGTTAGAGACATATCTTGGGCGCCACCAAAAAGCGAACGCGAAAATCAGGGTAACATTTCGGAAGTATAGAATATAGTAATGTTTAGTGAAAATCAGCTACAGTTGAAGTAACTGCACATGTGCTGGAACTATTTGTTTGCTAAGTTAACGGAAAAATTTGATTGTTTAAAAAAAAGTAATAAATATCAACAATAAAACTAGATTTTGCTAAACTAACGGCAAAAGAAAGTAAAAAAAAAATTAAAAAGAGAAATATTTCTAGAATAGTTAGTACATTGTACGATATTCATTTATAGTATTCATTAGTAATTGTATGCATACCTACATAAGCATTCGTATTGGAGTAAGACTAAACCGAAATCTCTTGAATATGTACACGTTTCTTGCCGCTCGTAGACGAAACCGTATTTGAGCCCGACGAACGCAAAATGCCACCTTGCTGTTGCTGCTGCTGCTGCTGTTGTTGTTGCAGGTGTGCGCTTTGAAATGAACGTGGCGGTGGTGGCGGTTCCGGTATATCATCATCCAAATCATTGACAATGTCATCGTTAGACACTTTGACCGCATTCTCGATTTCCTTGAACGACAACTGATCCGACGATTGTACTGCATAATCGAATTGCATGGACGTCTGACTGCCACTAGCCATGAACGAGCTACGTCTGCTCGGCATTAGCGCCGTTTCGAGCACCGCTATGCCGGGTGCCAGTGGCATTTGTGCGCTGTATGTGGCCATTTCGATATTACTGATGCCTTGTAGATGCTGCATATCCGCCGCTGCTTCCTTGCAGCCGCTATAGTTGGCCGCCTCTAAAGCGCTGTGATGTTTCGTCTTCAGCAAGTCCAAGGTGCTGCTCGAACCACCGCCGCCGCCGGGCCAATTCAATTCCATATGTGCGGTTGTTTGTGTGGGAGGAAGTTCGACTAGCAGCTTCTCATCCTTACCGCAACCTTTCGGCGGCTTCTCATCGTAGTAGTTGTATTCGCTGAAAACGACCGTACTCTTGCCGCTGGTGAGCGCATCAAAGCGCATGCTGCCATCATCATCGCCCAGCGTATTCAATTTGAGTATGCTAGCCGTTTTGCTGGTCTCATTCGTGTCTTGTAGTTCCTCTTTGGTTTTGGCGTCACGTGCACGCTTTTCGCGCTGATGATAAATGCCGGCGAAGATGAGTATGTTTAGTGTGAGCAAGAAACAACCAACGGCAACGGTGGCCACCAGCGCTGTGGTGTAGCTGGGAAATTGTTTGCCGCTCAAGCGTCGGAACATTTCCAAATTGCCGATGAGTCCGGTGGAGGCGGTCGCCAGATCCTTTTGTTGACCACCATTCTCCAGCATTGTGCGATTTTCCGTTGCTGCGGGCTGTTGTGTGGACGCGCTATCGCCAATGTTCGCATATATCGTGCCGTCAGGGTTGCATTCTGTGGATTAAAGAGAAGGGTGTGTGAAAATAAGTAGATGCAATGACTTCGGAAAATATTATTTGGTATAAAAGGCGACCATGTCGGTGGTATAAACTTTATAAACTTGGAATAGTTCAAGGATTTTTAGGGTAGTGGAGTTTGCGACACAGCCCCGATTGTTGCTCGACCAGTGGTCCGTAATTTAGGTTATATAACTTTAAGTTAGGACTAAGTAAAATAATAGAAATAATGTTATTTTCGTATTTGGGTTAGAACCAGGTAACATTGTATAAAAATTCTTATTTTCGAATGTCGGACGGCTTTCTCCCGACAATATCAAAAAAGAAAGGTTATGTCGGCTACATAAACTCCACTATTTTCGAAATGTTCAGAGTTATCGTGATAATAGAGTTCCTGGCTAGGACATGTTGTCCGGATGGAAGAGAACATTTCAGTATTGAAAGTTTTCGATTCAGTACCCGTCGGTGGAAGCAGAAGAAAAGGAAGACCTTCCTCCCGTTGGAGAGATCAGGTGGAGAAACACCTGGCTGCACTTGGTATCTCGAATTGTCGCCAAAAACCAAAAATAAGAAACGACTGGTGCGTTGTTAAATCGGCTATAACTGCGTAAGTGGTGTCCACGTCAATAAAGATGAAGAAGAGTTCCCAGAAAAAGTCTGTTGTAAGATATGGACTTGTTGGGAAGATGTTATTTTCTTATATCGGTCTTCAGACCATATCCCTCCGCCTAGTGTATGTCATATTATCACCACTAATTTGGAGACCGCTTAGAATGTTCAGAACCTGTTGTCAGACATTATTAAGACGGTTCTCTAAATTTTAATATATACAAAGACTCTAACCCTAGCGACCTGTACAATTGGATGTTGCTCCTAGGATAAGGACTGGACTCTTACAGGAAAGAACCAGGACGGATGGAAAGAGGAGATCCGCTCTAGCATGCAATCAAGGACTGTCACAGGGTTTTTTATGACTATTCATTTAATAAAGATTAACACTTCATTACGGAGTATTTTTTTATCAGATGTGGAAATAGGACGGAGAGATATAGAAGATCCTTTCAAGGACGCCCAAGCATTCAATGGAAGCACCAAGTGCATGGTGATCTTTCTGCTTTTGAGATGCATAACTGGTACGGCCTCGTAGAGATTGTAGGCAACTAATGAAGTTTTTGGGTTCTCGGCCCAGATTAACCCACAGTTGTGCTGCCAAGAAAAGGTAGAAGAATTCTATTGTTGTAGCTGTAGAAAATATTTCACAAATAATTTCAAGGATGGCTGCCGATCTGACAAATTATACTTGGGTAAAAATTCCAGTTCGTTCTTGGAACCTAGACAACCCTGTCGGTTAACACCGATTTCTTCAGATCCGATATATGTATTTCTGATGATTTATTCCTGCTTTGGACCAATCTTTATTGTTCTTTTCCAACTTTAAATTAATGGAGAGTGCGGCAAAGACTTTGGTAGAAGGGAATGTCGGAGTAACTATAGAGTATAATTTATATAAATTATCGGGATGAAGTGAGTCGACTTAGCTATGTTCGTTGGTCTATAGATACCCTTCTAAAACTTTGCACAGACCCCTTTTACCCCTATAAGCTACTTATTTGTCGGAACTGCTATAAACTCCGAAAATATTATTCAAATCGGACCACTTCACCATATAGCTGTCATAGATTTTTGTTTAAGGAAATAATGAAGAATAAGAGTAAGGATCCGTAGCAGATAAGCTCCAAGTATTACCTGTTGTTGTAGCGCCAATCAAAGTATTAATACCAGTCTTAGTATTATTACTCACAGCCTTTGTGGCTGTTGTCGATTTTGGCGTCTTCACCACCACGGTATCCTCATCATCCGGCGGTTTCGTTTGCATTTGTGGACGTACGACACCTGTATGGGCGAGAATTTATTTGCTTTTACTAAATTTTTTACACATTCATTGGCTGCAATTTACCTTCGTACAAATCACGATTACTGATGTCATCGGGAAACTGATGATGGCGCATGGACTGATCATTGATATTGGAATGCTTGTGCAATTGTGGTATCAAATTCAACCACATGGACAATTTGTGACCGCGATAATGACTCTGCACCTCTGCCTTATTACCTGAAAACATTTCGGAAATAAAGAAAATACATTTACTGTCATTACCCACACAAAGCAGCCGTCTTCTTAGACTCTTACCCAATTCCAAGTAGAGTTGATTCACCACATCGTAGGCATCCCAGAAGGGTAAATGTTCACCACGTCCAAGGCTCGGCTCGTCGGCAACAAATCTTAATGCCGCGTTGAGTAATTCATTCGATTCGTTGTTATTATTATTATTATTGTTGTTGCTGTTGTGCATATGTCGTTTGTAGTAAGCGCGTCGTTCACGCATTGCACCGCTACGTCGCTGATTGTAGATGAGCGCGAGATTTATGGCACCGCTCGTGTCCAGCAAACTGGCATGTTGCAGGCTGAGTTGATGTGGTATGGTGAGGTTGAAGAACTTGTTGACGGCATTTAGTGTTTTGAGTGAGGCGCGTTTCACTTTGCCATGGTCGAGTTGTGCAGTGATATAACCTGGTGAACGGGATGCTGATGCAGCTATGGATGGTGTGTCTAAACCTGAATGATTTGGATTGCTGAAAGAGTGATGAGGTGATTATTGTTACTCATGTGTAAATATGGCGTATGAGTAACATTTATACAAGAAACTACAAATGTGGTAGCAAGGCGTATGAGTAATATTTATACAAGAACAAATGTGGTATGAGTAATATATATGGGAGTACCAATGTTATAACATGGCGTATGAGTAACATCAAATGAAATATATTATACAATATACATATGTACAGTGAGAAAATTAATGCGATAATTTATGAAAATAGCAAAAAGTTGGAATGAAAATAAAAAATAATGAAAAAAGAAAATGATATACGAGGGATCCCAACATATGTCTGCTAACAGTGTTTTATATCTAAATTGTTTCTCACATCTAATTATTATACAGGTTAGAATTTTAAGTTAAATTTAACTCCTTTCGTGAGAGGAAAATATTATAAAAATTAATTTAGATAGCACTGTTAAGAGATTTACAAGAAAGTTTTGGTTCAAAGCATATTAAAAAAAGATTAAAAAAATTAATAAAAACACATTTTTATGAGTAATTTTTATTATTATTTAATTTAAATAGAGATTTACGAGACATTTTTGATCCAAATCATATTAAAAAAATTAAATTTTGAATAAAAGCAGAACTAATTAAGAAAATTTTAAATAAACAATTTTTATTTTTTTGCTGACAATTTTGTTCCAACCAAAATCGACTGACTTGTACTCTTTTGAGATATAATCTCTAAAATCATGTTAGGCAGAATTTAAAAATATTTAAATGTAGTTTAAAATTTTTTATGGAAAACAGGTTTTTTTTATGCTTGCAGATGGCAGCCTTCTGAAGTTGTTTAAATTCAATTTATTTACTCTTATTAAAAAGAAAATTTAACTAAAAATTTAAATGAAAATTATTTTTTTGTTTACAAAAATAAAATTAAAAAATAAATTTTACGACAATTTTTAGTAAAAGAATTTTTTTTATAAGTTTTATAGTTGCCAACTCTATATGCTTACTCTAGGTGTTTAAAATCATTCGAACTCTACTCTATTAAATAAAATAATATAAAAAAAGTAAAAAAAAAGTATTTAAGTTAAAACAAATCTTTTTTTAAATACACTTATATTTTTTTCAAGTACTTTAATGTATCTATAGCAATTAAATTATTAAAAAAAAATATTGAACCCTCAAAACTTTTAAAATGAATTTTACTGTTAAACAAAATAATTTTTAAAGATTTTTGATCGAAAATACATGTTTTTGATTTTTATTATTTTTTGATTGAAAAAACATTATTTAAAATTTTTTATCTTTTGAAATTTTTTTAATAGTTGGTAACTCTATATTTCAACTCTATTGTTTATATAATAGAACCATGTTATGCGAGATTTAAAGAGTTAAAAAAGTAATTTCTTTAGTATTTTTATTTTTCAAGAGACTCATAAAACCTGTTTTTTAGTTTAAAATCGCAAACTGGCTTTAATTAAAAAAAAATATTAAATTAAAAAAATTAACCATAATTAGCATTTTTTTATTTATAAACTAATTAAATTTTTAAATAGTTAGCAATGCTTTTTCCAATCCTTAAGGTCACTGCTATCTAAATTAAGTTATTTTCCAATCCTTAACGTCACTGCTATCTAATTTAAGTTATTTATAATTAGATAAAATTTGATTTTTTTATCTCATCAAAATTTGCGTTTAGTTTGCAAAAATCCAAAATTAAAAAAAAATAAATAAATTACTTAAATAATTTTTAATAAAATTAGAATCCACTTAAGTGCTAATTGGATCATAAAACCCACTGTTAATCGTTCCTACTTATTTAATATATATGTCTTATAGTTTACATATTGTCTCCTAAAATGCAAAAAAAAAAAAATTCTAATTGAGTTTTTTATTACTTACGATTCTCTACATCATATTACATACATATGTATATGTAGCATAAAATTCAATATACTATATAATCATTTTATAAGCAAAACTCAAATTTTGTTTCAATATGTATGTTGTATAGTATTATAGCGCCTATAAACTTATGAAAAGTGATGCTACGTTATTTTGCATTTTAGGTGACGATATATAAAATATTTAATTAACTACTTGCTTACCCCGTTTTCGCAAAATTCGCGAGATAGCGCAGCATAAGGCGACTAATCTGTTTCTCCTGAGTTGTATAGTTGTGCGGGAATAGTGGTGAAATGGGTAACCCTAACCAAAAAGGCACATCTTCACCACGAACGGAGCCGGTTCGCTGAGGAGGAGATAATTTTTTTTTTTGTAGAAATATAAAATTTTAGTAAATAGAAATTTTTTTGAAGGTTGGCAATAAGTTTAATTGGCTAAATATTAAAAAAAACTCTTCTATATTGAAAATGAGGAACAGAGAAGTAATTGGAAGTTGAAAATTTAATTATTTTATAATTCCAAGGTACTTGGAAAAGTAATTAAAGTTTCTTTGAGTATTCTTTGACAAGTTTTCCACTTTCTTGCTGTCTGTACTTGTTAAGTACTTTGTTCATATGATTTCTTATTATTATTATATATATATTATTTAATTTTATAACCGTAGCTACATATTGGTGAGTTGCCACTTACCTGTGGATACTCCTCTTCGACTGTTCTATGCTTAAAATGTATAAAATAACTGCGACCACCACGTAAGCTATGCATATAGCCTAGTTTAATCAGCGCTGCCGCGGTATGCCCATCACTCAAAAAGGAGAGAGTAGCATCACGTGAGCTAAGGGGACTGCGTATGGCCTTCTCCCAATCGGTGTATTCATTCTGGAAACAAAAATAATTAATTTGAAAAAATTAATAAAAAAAAAAAAA